AGATTAATACACTCATCCTCTTTACATTTTCACGGCAGAGAAATTTCTGCAGGATTTCACGACCGATACCTTATGCGAGCGTTGGCAGCGCGCGAGCGCGCGGGGGATCGGTCGCTTCGCTCCTTCGCCTGGCCAAGTACCCCCCTGTTTCAAATTGCTGGCTACGCGCTCAAGAAACAACTAACTATTGGGTTGATAAACACGCAGTTAGTATACTTGCCGGAACAACAGAACAGTGACCCCCCATATTTAACACGTCAGTGAACTCTCAGTGAGAGATACCAGTTCGAGTGAGGCTGGCCGCTTTGGCAGAGAGTGCTGTTTTTGTTCTCGTGATCGTCGTTGAAATGAAAGCAAGGAGCGTGAGAGTGAATCGACAAGGTCAGAGAGAAGCGCTGCCATCATCCTGACCCCAAATTTCGTTCTCGCGCATAACTTTGTTGCTATGTGGAGTTCACCCCTTTTCCTTAGGGACGATTAGCTTGCTTCTCTCATTATTCATGTGTTTACGGGATAGTAGGTCATTTTTTCGTTCATTCATAGTGTGACCCCCGAATATGCGACGTCTGCCCATCAGGTAGTGCTATGCACTGTACTGTTCTCTGATATAGGCCTCCACTCAGGAGATCGAGCGGATGACATCAGAGTCCTGTTTATGCTAGAATTAGACGATATAGCGCACCTACCCAATCCGCTTTGCTCTCCATTCTGCTATATTTAGGCTCCTTTTACGGAGGCCGGTGCGTATTCACTAGAGACTTGTGGCATATGGCGAGTAGTACTCGATCGTGAAATCGTCCCTATCTTATTATTTGATCGAATAATTAGCAACATCAATTTGTATAATAATTGGAGATAAAGTAAACACGAAATGTATTTACTACAAAGTTACTTAATGTTTCTCTGGCTCAAACCCTTATAGGAGCAAAATGCGTCGACATTTAGTTATGTTTGAGCACTCTACTTTTTTATATTAATTTCTCATTGGCAAACTATATAATGAATAACTATTATCAATGTAGTTATTCTGGTGCCTACATTTCTTAACCAATTACCCTGGTATTTGCATTATGAGCGTAAGTTCCCACAAAAGCGCTGCGGTATATGAAATCGTTGCATGATCTGCAGCTCTACAGTATATTCTCAGAACCACACGCGGCGTAACTCGAGCTTGAGTGGCCACCCACACATCAAAAAATGACCTGTGATCTAGTGAGACAGTTGGATGGCGTGCGGACAAGCGAGCGGTTGCACGGTAACAAAATTATACTTGCGGTAAATCATCATGCGTCATACATCGCCCTTTCGGGTATTTGTCATTATGATCCACTTGCCATCAAATATATACATCAGTTTTACTTTAAACCCAAACCCTACCATTTATCACCTGAGTATTTTATGCGACTAGTCTAATTGATTCATACTATCTGGGAGTATTCGGAATTATCACATTTCATATAGATGCTGTTGTGTTTTCTGTCTGGTCCGCAGTTATATCCTCTTTATTTACCACGGTAGCACTGATTGGCAAAGCAGATCGTGAAAAATTCCATGTGAAGCTTCGGTATAATAACTCACCTCGTGCTGACCGAAAATGTAAGATGTACCACTTCAAAGATACGCATATGCGCAGTAATATGCCTACCGATATTCTCGAATCATTTTGGATTCACAATTAAAAATGTTACAACACTACTTTCTAGCTCCTTAGGAGCTTGATATATTTAGAATAGAACAATTGTCGATTGTGTATGTATTGTAGACCATGAAGTATTGCTTGCGGATATTGTTAACTAGACTAGGCCCTTCTTTTTCGAGGCCAGCCAAGCAAAAACTTGAGCATAAATCGGTGGGCATATTTGTTCAACCTAAAAAATACGTTATAATATTGCTGAATACGATATTCACACAACACCGGTCTGTCATGTGATATCCATATATTGTCTTAACTCTCCAGTCGCAGTGTGATAGTAGTGAGTTATAACTGAGTATGTTGACCGTTAATAACATCGAACATTAAACATTTGGCATACTTCGCTCTCCGATTCACTATTATACGCTGCAGATGGGAGCATTTTCCTCAAGAATATCTTCAGCCTGAATTGCTTCAGAATATCTTGCCCTAAATACGCAGTACCAGTATCAAAGTTATAATTCAAACAACCGTGAACATTCGCTCGCAATAAGATGCCAAAATGGAAGCGGTTAGGTGTGCCAGATAAGGGACGTGTTAGTTGTTGCAGATAAGGTCATGTTCCCTGGGTTACTGCCGCCGGACATACCCTGGGTCGGTCCGTTACCCGGCGAACGTACCCTCGTAAACTATCTGATATGGTTACGGGGCAGTAGGTTAGGCGCACTCCCTTATGACTCGTTAGTGAGTACGCGTACCGCATCATCCGTCCGGCCTATTAGATGTGCCAGCGCGTACCGATAACGTTCCGCAGTACCCCAGGGAGACATAGACCCACGGGCGTTAGTTGTCCGAACATCTGACACAGTATCTGTGCTTGATATGAGATTTAATTTTAGTTGAGTTTGCCCTCTTAATTTGAAATATTTCGCTACTATCTTTATATATTGTCATAATAAACATTTGTGCAACTATGACTGTGTTAAATTAAATGTCTGCGCTGTAAATAAAAGTTGAGTCTCGGTGCTGAGTTGGCTCTACTTCGTCTGTGAATTTTGTATACATTGTTGTGTACTTGCTATAAACCTAGTATATCGGCCAATAATGATAACGCTTCATCCTACTCTGCTGCCTGTATTATTTTATAATTACTTATTTTTGTTCTTTATAGTAAGCACAAGACGTGGGTAATTTGTGTTACTATAGCGTAATTAAATAATGGTTTTGCGGGTGTGATGTGGAGATTAGATGGCATTAATACTGGTTAAAAACTTGCTGTCTTGTTACGAACTTCTGTTCTGACTAAGAAAGTTATCATTGAATCAATGGCACTGCAATTACGTACAGTGAACTACAGCAAGTTTCAGCTAGTAGACAATAGAAATAAACAATGTAGCTGCCCCCACTCTTAGTAGCAGCCGACTGTGTGGCATTTGTGCATGGCCTAGGAAATTCGGTGGTGGGCCGTATATTTTTTTTTAACCGTCCCATTTCATTCACAACAGATCATTTATAAAAACTATTGTAATGTTGTTTCGTCATACCCTATATTTGCGTGAACCGAGTGCAACATTTTCAAACTAACATTCGCAACCGAAATTTTGCCATTTAAAGTCTAATATAACGCTAACTCACGGGCATTAAACCACATAATGTGGTGTATCACTCCGGCTACTCAACTCTTCCTATTTCTAGCTTTAAAAACAAGCCAAGATCGTTTTTCTAGGTGCTTGCATATAGCGGGACGAGTTAGTCAAAATCGACCTAGCTAGTCACAAAACGCGTGTGTGGCCATTTTTGCGGTCTGGTAAGTTTGCCGGTTGATGTTTTGGAACATAAACATTGTTCAAAACTGCTAGCTTGTCTCCTTTGACTCAACTTCAAAATGTGGCTTACACTAAAGAGCAACAATACGTATTTGAAATGAGATTGACGCACGAAAGTTGTACATAATTATTTTGATTAAATCTCAAACTCGAACTCTTATTAATGAGCTTCAATACAAATCTTACTAATAATTAGCGTTACCTTATAGGACAGGAAAGAGAAGTGTTTACCGAGAATATACGTATTTATAAGTCAAATGCATAATGTGGATAATATTCCTACGTCATAAGATGGTCATCATATAGTGTGACATGTTTTTGACTTTCTGCTATTGAATGTGACGTATTAAGATATTCTGAGTTTTAGAGGGGATACAATACTTCACTGTGTCTACAGTCTCTACTATCGCTATCATTAATTTGTTTGTGCACGCTCAGCGCCGGGCGGGCGGGTACTTACGTGGTTGCAGAATGGAGCCATTTGACTGGGCATTTTACAGGTTGATTATAACGCGAAAAGAGGTAGAGAAACATTTAGACATTGGGTAGTAAATCTTTCGTGTTTATTTAGCATTATTTTTTTATCGAGAAGCCGCTTCCAAGTGGCCTAGGCCTGGGGAGACGCCGCTGCCCTCTTTGATGCTCCCCGTGATTTCTTAATGTGGTCCATCTCTCAGTTCCTAGATGTCATCCTAGCCTGCTGGCCATCAAATAAGTCAAAAATGAAGTAAATACACCTTTCATATTTGAAAGCTAAGCTCGGTCGCTTCGCTCCCTCGCCTTGGCCCCCCCTGTTTCAAATTGCTGGCTACGCCACTGCTAGGGACCCTATAGTCGCAGCCCCACAGCTAGGACTCTGTGAGTCAGGAGCCTGGCCGGAGCAAGGAGCTAAGTATAACAAGGAGAGGAAGCGCCCGCATATCTGACCCAAATCTTTGCCATACTTGGTCATATTGGCCTAGAACAGATTAGTGTTCTATTGTCTCTGGGTTCGGGTCTGCACAGGCGTTTCAGCTGATTATGGTCCATAGATGGCGTCCTTGTGGCGAAAAGCAACACAGCCAATCCGCTTCCTCTCCTTGTTATATTTAGCTCCTTGGGCCGGAGCACAGAGACTTGGCTTGGGACGACGAATCGTTTCAATATTGACAATAATAACAAAATGATTGTAAATAAACACGAAATGTATTTACTACCAAAGTCTTAATGTTTCTCTGGCTCAAACCTAGTAGTAGTTAGCACCCCACATTTTTAGCCCATGCAAACTATATAATATATATATCATTGGGGCCCCGAACTATGAATCGTATGATCTGGCACTCCACGATTCACCACACGAACGCCGCTGTGCACAAACAACAAAAATATGGAGCAGGAGGGAAAGCGTGACCGCAAACTGCGCACAACGCTTGCTTCGTTTCACATAATCACTGCACAAATACACAACTAACCACCTCCATTTTGGTATTTATGCATAGCTAAATGTTCACTTGTTCGAATTATGACTTTTCCAACTGGTACTGCGTACCTTTTTCCAGAGATATCTGGTGAATTCCTGTGGAAAACCCCCACTACCCGAAAATGTAAATGAAATCAAGAACATGAGTAATGCCACCGCATTGCATTCTGGATTCAAGGTGCCCTGCTTTCGAGCTCCTTATGGAGCTAGTTTAGAAGACATTGTCGATTGTGTATTGTATTGTAGACATGAAGTATTTGTGGGACATGTTAACTAGACTAGGGCCCTTCTTTTCGAGGCCAGCCAAGCAAAACTAGCATAAATCGGGTGGGTGTGACGTCACACACACACGGCTGCGTTCATTGGCCGTACAAGTAGTGTGGTGAGGAAGGTATGGATGATAAACAGGCACTTGCTCCCATTCACATTTAGGCAGAGTGGGAGTTTTCCTCAAGAATTCTTCAGCTGAATTGCTTCAGAATATCTGCTAAATTAGGCAGTACCAGTTATCAAAGTTATAATTCAAACAAGTGAACATTTCGCTACGCATAGATGCCAAAATGGAAGCGGTTAGTTGTGCAGATAAGGTCTATGTCTCCCTGGGTACTGCCGGAACATACCCTGGGTACGGTCCGGTATACCGGAACGTACCCTGGTAACTATCTGATATGGTTAGGGAGTAGGTGTAGGCGACTCCCTAGACTCGTTAGTGGAGTACGGTCCGGCATATTAGATAGTGCCAGGGTACGTTCCGGCATATTAGATAGTGCCAGGGTACGTTCCGGCAGTACCCAGGGAGACATAGACCCTACGGGCGTTAGTTGTGTCTTTGTGCCGTGTTTGTGTGAAACGAGGCAAACAACTTTCCCACCTGCTGTATATTTTTATTATTTGTTTAGAGCAGCGTTTGTGCGGTGAACGTGTGTGTTGTAAAGGAGCATTTGAATGAGATTGACGGAAAGTTATACTAATAATAGACGAAAGAGAGTAGAGAAACATTAAGCAATGCAAAGCATTTTCCAATTCTAAGCATATGTGATTTGATTTGTTGCAGAGATAAGAATCCTGAGGTTCTAGGAAGACTCTTCTTCTACAGTCTTCTAATTATCGTTGTGCCCGTTTTCTTGTACTTCTTCAGTAAATTTTTCATATTTGAAGGTAAGAGTCTGGAAGACATGTTAAAAGAGTCGTCATAACTGTAAAGTGCATTAATCGGACTAGTCAACGAACAGTTAAGTTATGTAAACAACTGATGTATAAAAATGCACGTAGTCTGTTACATGCATTATGCACACATCCTACTTGATAAACTATACTACTTGTCGACTTCTGCATTAACTTAGTATTTTTACACAATAACGTCACACCTATGCACAAACTGAAGAGCGTTTTCGTTGTCACAATGTCGGATGTAATTTTAGAGGGTATCACAGACGCTGTGAGAATAAGAAATAATATTAGAATAAAATAAGAAATAATACAAGAAATAATGGTGGGAGTCTCTCTTCTGTTTGCATATAGGTGTGGAGTTATAGGATGAAAATGCAAACATTGTTTACCACACTGTTTTACTGTACAATTGATGTCCTGCAACGTCTGCGTGTAATGCAGCTAATGCTGCAGCGTAGGTGCAATGCAGAGGTGGCGTCGTTTATTATTAGGTAGGTAGTGTGCATGATGTAGCACATTACCAAAAAAAATAGTTGAATACAAATCTATGGAATTTATTGATTTCAAAAGCTTTGGAGATTAGATGTTGTTGTTAGATTTAGGTTGTCACATTTTTCAGCGGTGTTCCTGCTGTCGTCGCAGCAGAGTTACATCTATGCTGCCATTGTTGCCGTGGTTGCCGTTCACGCCGTACTAGCACTCTTCATCTGGAAAGCCATCGCCGAAGACTCCAAACCGATCAAGAGAGACTAGGAACTGTTGCGCTGTGTTCGTTTCCATCGAAGCGACGCCCTCTGTATCGTAGTAGTCGAAGGGAATTTGGCAGCACATTGTTTAGGATTCGTGAAGTAGGATGTACACTGATATATGCAGCGGTGAGAAATGGTAGGGTAAAAATTGATTGATGAAATCCAGCTGAGAGAGCGGTGATCAGTATTATTAGGTAGAGGAAATTATAAAACGTGACACCGCCTCATTGATTGTTTACAAAGCAAGGTAGTGACAATAGAACTGGATATCATAGCTACAGTAATTCATTGATCCATGCAATCCAGTTGAGCGAGCGATGTGCTAATACGAGGTGGAGGGAAATAAAAAATGTGATGCTGACTCGACGTTTGCAAACGAAGGTAGATCCATTTACAACGACGAAGTGATTCGTAGCTTTTAACACTTGAGAGCGTCTACGGTAAAAATGTAGAAATAACAACGTGAGTGAGGCTACCACTTTCAACAGATCTGCTACCATGACAAGGGATCACTAAGCAGTATCCAGGAACCTAGGTAGGTAAAATTAAAGTCATGCAATTTGCATCGGCTCCGAATTTCCGAGCTCTGGTTGTCATTTTTCTAACAATTTTTGTAGAAAGTTCAAACAACCGGCGGACACCTGGTCGTTATAACGCCAGGTCTACATTACCTAAACATATCATTGTGGAATCCTAAAAATCTAATAATTCCATAACAGTAATCGTATTTCAATACTGTCCCAATCTAGTAATAACATCTAAACACATAACAGCTAATCGTGAACAGGTAATGACCATAAGCCTAAGAATGAACACAGGCAATCTTATTAACTCGATTCCGGTAGCACCATGGTTGTTTAACGGTTGTAATTCCAAAGTAAAGACTGAAGAACCACCGTTTAATATATAATACGAACAACGAATTTATTGCACCGCAGCCCAACCTGCCACATAGTATCCCACTGGCTTCGGGGAAGTACTTGGCGCCACCTATTGGGCCCGTTGTGGTGCATGTTACATTAATCTCACATTAACGACGTCGCCGTGATGTCTCGTGCGTTTCAGGAGCGAGGCAAGATGGCGGAACTGACGCTCACGCGCGTTGAGTACGCTCAGGTCGGCGTCACGTCACCGCAGTGCATGTGCGTCCTGCCGAACGTCGAGAAAACGAAGGAGTCGCGCGCGGGCAAGATGGCCACCCAGCGCGTCGCCGTCGGCGACCACGACGGCGTTCTCACCTGCTTCCAGATGAAGCGCAGCGAAGCGGTGCCCATCTACAAGACGTTGCCCGGCGCCGCGATCAGCCGCGTCACGCTCGCCGGCACGCCCGGCGCGCACGCCGACCACGTGTTCGTTGCCGCGGGCAACGCTGTGCGCGGCTACGCGCGCAAGGGCAAGCAGTTTCTCGGTTTCGAGAGCAACATGACGGAGCCGATCACGTGCATGCACGTGCGCGGCGCCGACCTCCTCCTCTGCGGCAACTTCATCTACAACCACTACCACGACCTCATCGACACAAACTACTTCCTCGCAGGCGACCGCATCAACGACGTTGTCTGCGTCGGCGGCGACGGTGGCGCCCCCACGCCCGTACTCGCGTGCAACGACAAGCTGATGCGCGTTCTGCGCGACTCGCAGCTGCTCTACGAAGTGGAGACGCCGGCGCCCCCTACCGCGCTCGCGCTGCATCGCGGCACGGGCGGCGCCACCGGCGACGAGATCACGTACGGCACCGACGACGGCCACGTTGCGCTGCTGCGCGTCGGCATGACGACGCCCGCGCACGGCTGGGTGGTCGGCGGCGGCGGCGGCGGCAGCGTGACGGCGCTCGACTACTACGACGTGACGGGCGACGGTACGCTCGACCTGATCGTCGGCCGAGACGACGGCGTCCTCGAGGTGTACGGTTTCCATGACGACGACGCGGAGGAGGATGCGGAGCCGACGCTGCGTTTCTCGCATGCCTGCAACGAGGGCATCACGGCCGTGCGCGGCGGCGTCGTCGGCGCCGCGGGCCACGCCGAGGTCGCCATGACGACGTACGCGGGCGCCGTCGTCGGCATGACGACGGAGCGGCTGCGACAGGAGTCGTCGGCGGCGGCGGGGTCGACAGTGAGTCCGCGCGCGCTGGAACGCGTCTCGAGGCTGCGTGGAGAGATCGACGAGCTGACATCGAACGTCCAGCAAGAGCGAGAGCGCTACCAGGTAGTGATGTCCTGACTATCGATTATCGATTATCGATTATAATCGAAAGTCAGTCGTTTGCAGCAACCGACTAATTAGCGCTTGATTATGAAAAGAAATAATCAATTATAAAAAAAATTAGTGTGTATTTTTTTGGTTACTAACAAAAGCTTTACAGCTTAAAATCGAAGTGAGATTTACTACTTACTACTAGCAAGTATAATAATGTTACAGCTTTTAGAATATTGTATTATAAAAAAACAGTGTATTATATGATATATGATAAATTTCAATATCTCGTAGCTGCGATCAATAACATTCAACCGATTACCTTTGATCATCGATCATCGGTTGCACCCAACTGATGATCGATGACGAAACACCAAACGATTCCCATCACTACCACCAGGCGGCGACGCGGCGCGACGACGGCGTCTCGGCGATACCGCAGCTGCAGACGCGCGTGCGATTCGTGCTGAGCAGCGACGACGCGTCCTACGCGCTCTCCATCGAGTGTCAGACGGCGATCGACAATGTGCTCCTGCAGAGCGATGTGCCGGTGGATCTGCTCGATGTGGACCGCAACTCGGCCGTCGTGTCGCACGCGGCGGCCGACCCCGGCAACAGCAACTTCCTGCTGGCGACGTACCGCTGCCAGGCGAACACGACCCGCCTCGAGCTGAAGGTGAGGTTTGCGCTTTATTTTACATTTACAAAAAAAGTTTGGGGGGGGCTTGACGTTGTATTTCCAAAGTAAAGACTGAAGAAGATTGAAGGTGACGTTTGAAGGTTGACGGTTTGAGGTTTGATGTCGAGTTGAAGGTGACGTTTGAAGGTTGACGGTTTGAGGTTTGATGTCGAGTTGAAGGTGACGTTTGAAGGTTGACGGTTTGAGGTTTGATGTCGAGTTGAAGGTGACGTTTGAAGGTTGACGTTTTGAGGTTTGATGTCAAGTTGAAGGTGACGTTTTGAGGTTTGATGTCGAGTTGACGGTGGCGATTGAAGGTTGACATTTTGAGGTTTGATGTCAAGTTGAAGGTGACGTTTTGAGGTTTGATGTCGAGTTGAAGGTGCATGGCGTTTGAAGGTTGACATTTTGAGGTTTGATGTCAAGTTGAAGGGGACGTTTTGAGGTTTGATGTCGAGTTGAAGGTGCATGGCGTTTGAAGGTTGACATTTTGAGGTTTGATGTCAAGTTGAAGGTGACGTTTTGAGGGTTAATGTCGAGTTGAAGGTGACTGTTGTATTTCAAAAGTAAAGACTGAAGAATCAACGTTTAATATATAAAACGAAGAGTGAATTTATTCCGCCATCCAAGTCCAGCCTGCCACGTTGTAGTATCCCACTGGCACTGGCTTCGGGGAAGAGAGATTATGCTCGAAAGCTTGCTGATTAGAATTTAACAGCCTATTCTATTTTCCTACATTTATTTATATATATATATATAATAATAATATATATATAATATATATAGTAATATAATAAATTTATATATATATATATATATATATATATGAATATATATATGGATATATGTAGGTATATGTTATACATTGTGAGCATTTCTCGTGGCAGGTGCGATCGATCGAGGGCCAGTACGGCACGCTGCGAGCCTACGTGACGCCGCGGCTGCAGCCAAAGACGTGCATCGTGAAGACGTTCGCCGTGAAGCCGCTCTCGCTGCACCGCAGCGCGCACGCGTACGACGACGCGCGCCCCACCAACACGCTCCGTCTCGACGGACAGTTCAGCTACGCCGAGATGCACGCGTGGATCGCAGCGTGTCTACCCGACGTCGCCGAGCGTCCCGGCGCGGGCGAGGCCGCCTGCCTCCACTTTGTCTCGACGTTTCTCGACACTCAGCTCGAGTGCATGTACAGGAAGGGCGAGGCGGTGTTCCGCTCAGACAACGTTTCGACGATCTCCATCCTGAAGGATTTCATCACGAAGGAGGCAACGGCGCGGAAGATACACCTCGAGATCAACTACGAGGTGAGACGGCTGTGTAAATAAGTGTTATATAAATGGACTGTACGTATATGTAATAATTATATCAAATATATAGGTAAGCGTGTACAGTGCCCGGAAACTTTATTTTTAGGGTGTAGGGCGAGCATTGTTTTTCAGTCACTCGGGCGATTTTGGTCAGCCCAAAACTGTCAATGGAAAATGTCAAATGTGGTTTTCTCGCTTCTTTCTTAATGCTTGGTTGTTTCCCCCGACGCTCACGTAATACATAATTTCTCACGTTCACTTGTCTTCGCAGGTGAGCGACGACTCTGTCTGGCACGGGCCCACCACGATCCACCCGAAACTTGCCATATTATCTCACGTTCACTTGTCTTTGCAGGTGAGCGACGACTCGGTCTCGCACGTTCTCGCGACGATCCACCCGAAACTCGCTATATTTTATCACGTTCGCTTGTTTTCGCAGGTGAGCGACGACTCGGTCTCGCACGTTCGCTTGTCTTCGCAGGTGAGCGACGACTCGGTCTCGCACGTTCGCTTGTCTTCGCAGGTGAGCGACGACTCGGTCTCGCACGTTCTCGCCACGATCCACCCGAAACTTGCCATATTATCTCACGTTCGCTTGTCTTCGCAGGTGAGCGACGACTCGGTCTCGCACGTTCTCGCCACGATCCACCCGAAGCTCGAGCACCAGCTGGCGCTCGCGAAGAAAGTGCGTCTCGTCGAGGCGCTGCGCGAACTCGCAGCGCACGACGCGGACGCGGACGCGTACCTCGCCGCGGAGTACCGCGCGATCCTGCGCGACGACGACGCTCTGCGCCGGGAGTTCCGCGAGCAGCCGTGTCAGCTGGAGCGTCTCTACGGCATGGTCACCGACCTGTTCATCGACCGGCACAAGTTTCGCGGCGCCGACGTGAAGGCGCGCGTGCCGCAGCTGCTGGAGCTGCTAGACAACTACGAGCTGCAGCCGCTCATCGCATTCTTCAAGTCGGCGTGATGATGCGTCGTCGCCGTGGCAACGGGAGGTGCTGTTCGGGGGGGGGGGTCGTTAGGTGTGGGTGATGCTTGCGCGGGTCCGTGTTTGTAACAGATGTGGTTGCTGGTGTGGCGGTCGGTCGTTACATGTGTCGAATGCCTATGCTGGTTCGTATTAGCCGATGGATTAGTACATTATGGTTGTTGGTGTGCGTGCGTGTGTGCGTGCGTGGGTGCGTGTAATTCAGGTGTTGCATTGCAGTAGCATAGTACTGTCGTTAGCATATATTCTAGCACTGGCCAGAACTGCTGACGCGGTAGTTTAACAGCACCGGCATGCGCTCTCGCACCTCACCCCTCACCGAGCTCGTTCTGTTAAAGCTGGGACCACTATATAGGTGAGAATTCACCTGACCACCTGGTGTGATTAACAGGTAGTTTTAACCAATCACTGTCGCCATAGGAGCATCCAAAAAACAGCTTGGTAACGAAATGCCAAAAAGTCGTTATTTGTGGTGAAACACGTTTGAACTAGTCTAGCTTGGCCAGTAAGGGCAATGATATTCTAGTAGGATGACACAGTTATCTCGTTCGGACAGAGGTGACAGGTCACTTTTGAGATATGTGCATCTCATCAACTGTGTATCACCGGTATTCAGTGATTCCCACACATACCGGTATTCAGTGGTCCCTACAGATACCGGTATTCAGTGATTCCCACACATACCGGTATTCAGTGGTCCCTACACATACCGGGGTATTCAGTGATTCCCACATTTACGGTATTTAATATTTCCACACTTACGCGTATTCAATGATTCCCCACACTACCAGTTTTCAATGATTCCCACACTTACTGGTATTCAATTATTCCCACACTTACTGGTATTCTGTGATTTTGAAAAAACAACAACGATTAGGATAGGTATTAGTCACGTGAAGTCGCATATTGATGTTGAAGGAAAGATGTCACAGCTGACTATTGTGTGCAGCATTCGAGCATGTGATACTATATTCAAGGCGCATTCTTAATAACTTACATATTCATAATTGCACCTGCCTGTGTGAGTAAAAATAGATTACCATAAAAACAATGACATCATTAGTCTTGCTTAGGGTGTAGTCCTTTATCTTGGACTAACCACCAGCATCGAATTAGTTAGCAATAGCACATATTGTAGTGCAGCTAAGGTGAATGCTGTGCAAACAGAAATGTTTGTTATGTGTTGATCACTAAACTGCTGATGGCATAGTGTTGTGTTAGACACTCGACGTTGGCTTGGCATAGTGACACTCGCTTTACCACACCTTCTTATATATATTGTGACCCGCTCCGGCATATACGGACTAGTAAGTCGCAAGTCATTGTTTTGCAGTAATGAACGACGCACACATGTCAATGCTGAAAATGGGCCTACCTGGACCAAAATGAGTATTTTATCAAAATAAGTTTCCTAAGGTGCATATTTAATCCGGATATATAGGTTCAGATATCTCTAGATTATTATGGTCATTTTAATTAAAAAAAAAATCACGTTTTCGAATGCTTCAAATGCCTGTAGATCGGTGCAATTCTTTA